TCCTGGACTCTGTTAGAGAACCCCACTTTGGTTCAAGGGGACATGCCCACCAAGAGCCAGAGCTTTTTCTCCTTTTCTTCTATGTGGTGCATATAGGACACTGCAGAATTCTATGCCTCAGTGGTCTCTTAGATATCTTCTCAAGGGTGGACTGTCTCCTAGTGTATGCAGAAGTGGCCCAAGGAATTTATGTTATTCTGGGGTTGTGGACAGAACTTGTAAGGGTGGACCAACTCTTCCTGATCATTCTTTTAACAGTTTATTACCTGCTCTGGGCCCTTAGAAATATTAGGAGTAGGTTAGCCCCACTATGGGAATTCAGGGGGAGGAGAACTTTGACTTGGCAGTGTCTGGGAGCCTTCACTGGGGAAAAGAGTTGGGAGAAGGGAAGGAGGAAGAGGAATGTTTGGCAGAGGTAACATCGTACTCAAAGACTAGACGTGCCAGACTTATCTGTGGAAAGTCTGAGTTTTCGTGAGGATACAGGTGTGGAAGTTATGCTAAGTTTATAAAAGCAGCTGGTGGGAGACAGGATCATGAACAGCTAGCACACAATGAGTGAAGTTTTGGTGAGGTGTTTCATATTATCAGTAGATTCCTGAAGCTCTATGTAGAAGTTCACAACATCCAAGATTCACATCAGTAGGTTGTTGTTGTGAGATGTCACGTTAACTCTGACTAATGGGGACCCCATGTGACAGAGTAGAACTGCACTACAGGGTTTTCTTGGCTGTAATCTTTATGGAAGCAGATCACCAGTTCTTTCTCCTTCTGAGCTGTTGCATGGGTTTGACTACCAATTTTTCTGTTGGCAACTGAGCAATTAACTGTAATGTTACCTGTTCTCCTTATCAGCAGGAGTATCATTGTAGATTTGAGGGGTTTCAATCAGATGATCACCTTTGTGAGGAGAGAGCTTGGCTTATATGGTGGCAAGCAGTGAAGTCTAGGTCAGAGATCAGGGAATAGAAAACAGTATAAGAGAGAAACAATGGGGTTGGTAAAGAAGAGGAGCCTTGGTGTGGTGCTGTAGGATAAGCACTGGACTTCAAAGTCAGTTTGTACCACAAGGTTGGTAGTTCAAACCCACTAGCTGCTCCTTGGAAACCCCATACAGAGTTGCTATGAGTCAAAACCTACTCGATGGCATTATATATATCAAATATATAGAGATATATTTGATAGGTATATAGGGAGAACCACAACACTAGTAAGGTATGCTCACTATGAATGATGGACAGGTCAATCCTTACAAATCAAAGGGGCAACATGTACCTAAGGACAATGGCAAGCAGGGATGGGAAGGTGGGTGGAATGGAAACAGTGAGGAAGCCAGGTAACTGTTGTTACATGGAGGGGATTGCAGTCATTGAGATGAAACAAAGTGTATGATTTGTTGAACGTAAAACTGATGGTCTTGTTTGTAAACCTTCACTCAATTCACAATAAAAAGTTTTTTTTGTTTTTTTTTTTAAAGAAGAGATGTATTTGAGATAATAGATAAAAGAAGAAAAAGTAGATTCAAGTCATTGTACCTGCATTCTTAAGAGGCTGCTTGATATTGAGAAAGGGGATTTTTATTGGAGGATGGGGCATTTTAGAGTTTGCAGTTAATGAAATGATCAGTGAAGAATTAAGTTATGTATTTTATCCCACTTAGAGCTTTATTAAATTATTTTCAGTTCTATCCTAATATCTTTTATCTAGTCCAGGAGCTATCCTATCGTGCCCAAAGAAGAAATTATCAGGTGGGACCAAAAAACCACATGTAAAAGTCAAAGAAAAAACGAAAAAGATGCCAAGACACAGGTCCAAGTTTGACAAATACTTGTGAAGCCAATTTCTTTTAAACTCACCTCTGTTTCCCTATCTTTCTCTGTTGTTGTTAAGCACTGTTGAGTAGCAACCCTGTATAGGGTTTCTGAGGAGCAGCTGGTGAGTTTGAACCACCGACCTTGTGGTCCAGTGCTTATCCTACGGAGTGCCACATCAGGATTCCTTCCTAGCTATAGATTATCAGTATTTTTAGTGACAGCTTTACTGAGATAGCCTTACAATTTACCCATTTAAAGTGTACAATGTTGTTGTTGTTGTTAAGTGCCGTCGAGTCGGTTCCGACCCATAGCGACCCTGTACAGGGTTTCCGAGGGTGTAAATCTTTACGGGAGTAGAAAGCCTCATCTTGCTCCCGCGGAGCGGCTGGTAGTTTCGAACCACTGACCTTAAGGTTCGCAGCCCGATTCGTAACCACTACAATTCAATAGTTTTTAGTATCTTCACAGATTGTGTAACCATTGTTGCTGTTGTTAAAGGCTGTTGAGTTGGTTCTGACTCATAGCGACCCTGTTTAGGGTTCCTGAGGATTTTCCTCTTATCTGGAGTTTAGCTAAATCCCAGAGGTTAATGGCAAATGTTGACATATAGATTGGAATGGGCTGGAATTAGGTTTAAGATTAGAGTTCTGATAAGGTAACATAAGCAGAGACCGGAAAGAGGAGGGGGCGTGAATCTGGCAAATATATGTAGGAAGAGCATTCCTGGAGAGGGAATAACATGAGAAATGCTCTCAACCAAGAGTGAACAAAGTCAGGACGGTCATAAATGAAGAGTATAGAAGCAAACACGGCTGGTAGTTTGCAGTGGTGGTGGGCTAGACTTGGTTGTACAGGTGTGTACTGCATACTGTAGGGAGTGATGTACATATACGTATATGAACCTGCACAACAATTCTATATTGTGGCACAGGAGGCAGAACATATAAAGCCTTACAGGGAGTCCCAATGATGCAGTGGGCTGCAGCCAACTGCAAGGTTGGTGGTTCAAATCCACCAGTCGCTCTGAGGGAGAAAGATGAGATTGTTCCCATAAAGACTGACAGTCTCAGAAACCCTAAGGCGGGAGCAGTTCTACTCTGCTCTATAGGGTCACTTTGAGACAGATGTCAGAAGATTTTTAGAATTTACTCTGTGATGGGAAGCCATTGTAGTATTTTAAGTTTTTATCATCTATTTAATAGCACCAATATGACTTCTTGGTTGCAAACATCATACGTGGGCACAATTAGAAAGACCAGTGAGGAGTCTGTTACAATACAAAAGAGATGATGTTAGCATGAAAGAAGGTTGTAGGAATTTTGAGAAATAATTGCATTTGGTCGACAGTTTATATATGCAGAAAGAGAAGGGCTTCTGTCATATAACAGGCATTTCTAAGTTGCTTTGTAACCCTTTCTAAAAGAGAACTCCGATGTAAAAGGATCTGCATAACTACTGGGTCCAATTTATGTCAACACATAAGGGCTTTGTGTTGGCATTTTCTGGATTCTGTGTTTCATACCCTATTTTCTTCTATCCTACTGGCTTTGCAATCACAAACAATGTAATATTAAATTTATTCCTTCATATTACACTATTTGAATATAATCCTCAAGAAGAAGTCAATATGAATGGATTTTCATCTTTAAATTGTAAGATTTAAGACATCTTTGAACTCAAACTGTAAATTAAAATTTCGGTCAGTTGCACAATTTGGCACACACCGCTCTGCACGTCCAGAGCCCCTCTGCATTTCTGCAAATCGTGCTCTGCGGAGATTACGTACTTAGGTGGCATTTGTTTGATTGGGTGGCGAGTGTCATAACTGCGGCACAAAGTTTGGCTCCTCCATGTCTTAAGAAGAGTAGGAAGAATGCTTTTGACATGATGACATAAGATGAGGGCAGCGCAGCAGCAGCAGCAGCAGCAGCAGCAGTAGCAGCAGCAAAAGGCTGGAAACTTGTCCGGCTTCATTTCCTTGATAACTACTGAAGCTGTGCGAGTCAGCAGTTTACAATGTAAACAAAGAACTGTCAGCGAGGCTCCAAGTTTGCGGTTAAGGAGGCACAGAAAGTGCAGCCTAGGAGGCTGAAGAGCCCTGAGGCCAATGGTCGGCTACAAAAACTGCTGAGTCGGCTAAGTCACGCTTACCTCGGAGAAGTTCCTGTCCACCTGGCTGTCTGCTGACGGATCAAGTTTCGTTAACGCCACATACTTGAGAAAAAGAAAAACAGCAAGCTCCAGATAGAATTCTCTCTCTCTTAAAGTTATTTATTTTGGATTTTTTCACCCCTTTACTTCAACACCTTCCTCTCCCTCGATCAGCAAATGATACACCACTCCTTCCCACTCCGACTCCACTTTTGCATCTCCAGACATCTCACTGGCTCACCTCAATGTCCAAGTGCTCCACGGTGCCCGCCCCATCGCCAATAATCACCCTTCTCCCCGAAGTCCCTAGCTATTCCCGGCTGGGTCAGTCTAGCCCCAGGTCCCGACTCTCAAGAGTGACTGTAGCGCGCCCCCTCCCCACTGTCTCGCCCCGCCCCACACCAGCCAGCACCGCCCCCACGTTGTGTCCCTGCACCAGTCCGCGTGGCCACCGCCGCGGTTTTCTCCGTGGCCCGTGCCCCCAGGCGTAGCCCCGCCCCGCTCCAGCTCCGCCCCTGGCCGCCGCTCCCTGATTGGTCGCCCGCCCCCTCCTCCCCACTTTCTCTTCTCCCCTTCGCCCAATGGGCACCACCACCTGGTCCAAAAATTCCCCCGAGAGGACCCAGGGGCTCTGCAACCTCCAGGTCCCGAGGGGCGGCAGGGGTGGCAGGGACGGCCGCCGCGGGGCGCAGATCGGGGAGGGGACGTGCAGTGGGGAGTGGAGGCAGGAGGAGGAGCAAAGGTGTTGAAGAGAAAACTTCTGAAAGGAACAGGAAACCTGCCGGGGGAGGCGGCGGTTGTGGCTTCTCAGCGCGGCCGGGCGGTGCACGTCGCAGGGTGTCTGCAGCTCCGGCTTTGCGCCGGCGGGGCTCCGGGCGCGGGGGCAGGGTGAGCCCGATCCTCGGGTTCTGGGTCTGTGCGCTCGCGGACGCTCACGGCCGCGGCTGTCCTGCGCTCCGTTCCGCTTCTGCCTCGGCGGCTCCCGGAGAAGACGCAGGGAAGAGGAGGGACGTCCACTCTGGAACATGAAGCAGCATGTCTGATAAAATGTCCAGCTTCCTCTACATAGGGGACATCGTGTCCCTGTACGCGGAGGGCTCGGTCAACGGCTTCATCAGCACCCTGGGGTAAGCGGGGGCGCGGGCAGGGCAGCGCTCTCCCTCTCCCTCTTCCGAACCCATCCTGGTCCCCTCCTTGTGTCTCCTTGCCTACTTAGCACTAGTCGTCCCACTCCCGCCCAAGGTTGGCCGGGCCGGGCAGGCTCTGCGCCCGCGGACAGCGCCTTGCTTGCAGGAAGCCTCAGGGAGAGGCGAGACTTTCTCAGCAACTTCTTAATCTCATATTCAGAGACACATCAGAAAAGGAGGAAGTGATTCAAAACTCTGAGATAGGCCCTGCGAAGTCTGGTTTCTCCATGGGCTGTTTTGATTAAAATGTGTTTGTTTTTCCTTAAAGGTAAAACAAAACAATTCCCGTCCTCATCTTTTCTCGCTACCTCTCTCAGTCAGTGTCTCCCAGTTCCTCCTTGGAAAAGCAGTCGATAAAAGTCCGTGGCCTTGAACAAGAAACGCAAGCTATGTGGTGAGAGCTAAAGTGTGGTATTATCCTACGGGGGGAGTTCACTGTCCCTTCTTCGCTGAAGTAATTTCCTTTTGGCCTTGCCAAACGAAGACTCGCCCAGCGGTCGAGGGCAGCCTGGGGGCGTCCGCAGCCTGTGACCCTCACAGGTCTCTGACCGCCTCCTGGCTTCTAGTACTCAGACCTGCGTTCTGCTCTGTGGCCTTGGCCCACTGAAATGCTGAACTTCTGGCAATCAACCAAGTGGAAGGTTCTTGAGATCCCAGATTGATTTCTGAATGGGATATATAATTAAATAGGACTTAATTATTTCTAGTATATTGGTCTGCCCTGATTATGAATACTACCAGTTCACAGTTTGAATGCACCCTGAATTATATTTTGATGCATAAGTATTTTTTCGTGGTTTTAGCACTTAGATACTCCAGTTTTAAAGATTTCAGGCTATGGAACTGGCGTTCCCACCTCCTGACTGGTTACTGTTTTCTGCTGTTAGGTTTTGGGACACACTTCTTAACATACAGTGCCCCAGGACCACGATTGTGAGCCATGTTATGACGAGAGTGTTGCCTGCTTATCACTAGAATGTGGAAGTCACCAGTATTTCTATGACTGCTGCTATTTGTGAATTTCCCTTAGTGGGTGAAAGAATCAAGATACATATAATATAATCCTTTTACAATCAATGTGATTTACCTGTGAAACTGAAGCATGGAAGAAAAAAAGTCTGGGTGGCAAGTGCTTATACTAGGTCTGTAAGCCATAAATTGCTATTGCTTCTGAAAGAATTAATAGCACAAGTTCAGTTTTGGACCCCCAACAACAATTTGCTGATGAACTCTGCTACGCTTCACCCTTACCCTTCATAGATTTTCTAGGTGTGTGTGATATGGTAGTTAAGCACATACAACTTCCTGGCAGAATGCCCAGGAGGGTTCAATCCCAGCTTTACCATTAAACCCTGTGATTTCCGTAAATCATTCTGTGCCTCAGTTTCCTCAGGTTTGGAATGGAAGTTATACTAGTTTCTACCTTACAGGTTGTTTTGTTGATATATGTAAAGTGGTTACCTATGGGTGGGAACCCACTCAAGGCACTTAACAACAACAACAAATATAAGTGTTGGCTGTTAGAATCACTATCACTGCTCTGGTGTCCATTAGCAACAGTTACTTTGTGTACTAAATAATAAAAAAGATTAGAAATAGAATATAAAATCTAAGCCGACCAAAAGTCATGTTTTTATAAGTTCTTATTCAGCAAAGTATGGGTTGTTGTTGTTTTTATGTACTATCCAGTTGGTTCTGACTCATAGTGACCCTGTATAGGAATTCTGAGAACGGCTGATGGCTTTGAACTGCTGACTTTGCAGTTAGTGGTCCAGTGGAATCTGGTGTGGTACATGTGCTGGACAGCAAAGTTGGTTTGAACTACAAGCTCACCAGTCGTTCCTCGGAATCCCTATACAGGGTCATTATGGGTTGAAACAGACGTGACTGCACTTAACAACAACAATAGTTTATCCTGCAGCACCACACCAAGGAGTTCTGGTAGCATAGTGATTACGAATCGGGCTGCGAACCTCAGGGACAGCAGTTCGAAACTACTAGCTGCTCCGCGGGAGAAAGATGAGGCTCTCTGCTCCCATAAAGATTTATTGTCACTATAAGTTGAAACCGACTCCACGGGCACATAACAACAACAACAACAGCACCACACCAGGGCTCAATGGTATGGGAAGTATAATATAAAACAATTCCTAGAAGGGCTATAGATGGAAAATCCGGAAACTACAACTTTTATAATTATGTCATCAGCCCTACTCGCTTTCAAGATCTAGAAATAGATGTAGACAAATAAAGTAATTTACCCAAGAAGCAGAGGACACTAATGCCAAAAGCTGGAGAGCCCCCCTCCGGGTTTGCCTTTCTTTGGCTATATATTCTAATATTTAAGTCTTGAGAAAAATAAACTTGAATAACATTTAATATAGCATTTGTATGCTGTTGCCCTGTAGGATTAGCACTGGACTTCTAACCCCAAGTTTGGAGGTTCAGACCTACCAGCTACTCCATGTAAATCCTATACAGGGTCCTTATGAGTTAGAACAGACTCGACAACGCTTAACCCAACATCATCAACAAGTTTATATAAATCTTATTGGCATTCGGTATTTCTTACTAGGATTTTGAACGTTGAGTTTCCTTAGAATATTTTTGTGGAGGATATTATTTTTCTGTTAATGGGTTGAGTCTTGCTGCAAATAATGCAATAAGACCTTCATGTAGCTTGATTCTGGGGTGTGGAGGTCTTTAGAAATGTTGCCATCGGTGAAGCAAGGTTCTTTTTCTAAGATAGACGCCCAGAAGTTCAGATAACTTTATAGTCCTTTAAAGTCCTACGTATACTTACTCTTAACCTCTTTTCTGAATCCATAACAGGACAGTTATAGTGAAACGTTATCACTGCTGTGCTCTAGTACAGTTTCTAGCTTTCATTGTAACAATGACCAGAAGGGTATTCAAAGGTTGCTTGATGCTAGCCCAGTAGTTAGAATGGACTTTAGTTGAGAGAATCCTGGATGAATAATCAAAGGAAACTGTAAAAGTAAAAGTATTGTAACATCTCACTTGACAAAGTAATGACATCATTACATCTATGGTGCATAAAAAGATAGTACTTTTCTGCTTTGAAAATAGGACAACTCTGAGAGCATGTTACTTTTTAAAAAGGTGGAGACATCAAATAGAAATAAAATAGAAATTATTAACCATCTCTCTAATGAACACTTTCAATCTCTGTTGTCTGTGAGTTATGCAAATTAAATAATGTTGCACACAGGACAAAACAAAAACATTTCTTAAATTGCTCTCAGAGAGCATCTGGAACCTTTAAAAAAGGCTCATTTTATTCTTAAAGGGACCACACAGTCCATTTCATATTTCTAAATGCTTAATTAAAAATCATACAAAAGAGAAAGAAAACTTGGGAAGAAAAAAGAGAATGTGTTCTCCTGACCTTAAGTCTTGGATGTGGACAGAGCTACCTGGGTTCTTGTGAAAAGGTAGGAAGATTTGCCCACAGCCCCTTGTAATCATCGAATTCTATGTGCCTCCAGTCATCAGGGTGTATATTTCTGTGGGAGTTGTTAGTGCTAAAATTGAGTTTTGACCTTCAATACCAAACAAAGACATTATATCATAACTTAGATGAAAGTATTCTGTGGAGAGTCTTATAGTGATTTTTATTAACAGGCAGGTAGTTTTTGAAATTAGAGATTCTGGATATAAAATAATTTCTAAAAATTGAAGGTGTGAAATTTCAATGTTTGTGAAAATACACCATTTAATTTCTTAATGGCTTAATTATATTCCTGACATATAATCACCTGATGTATTTATCCAGAGAAATCAAGAAACCAGGACCTCTTTGAACATATAAGCTTATAAGCTTACCTTTGTCTTGGCTAATGCCCATGATAATGTAATAAAATCATTCTGCTTTTTATCTATGCACAGTTTTTAAATAGATATGGTTCATTTTAATGGTTGTTAATAAATGCCATTGAGTCGGTTCCTACTCGTAGTGAACGTGTATAGGATTTCTGAGGAGCAGCTGTTGAGTTTGAACCTCCAACCTTGTGGTTCAAACTGACCTTGTGGTCCAGTGCATTATCCTGCGGCACCACTCCAGGACTCCCTGTTAATGGTTAGGACTTTCTTTAACCAGTGGGAGCATATCGTTGATAGACTTTTAGGAGTTATAAAGCTTGTAGGAACATATGCCCATGTCAGATAAAATGTTTATTTAGATAATATTAGGTAAAAGTAGCTTTACCTACTTTGTGATCTTAAATTATCATTGGTACATATTTTATTTTGCAAGTTAGTTTCAGTGCTATGAAACAGAAGCAGCACGCTAGTGATAGTTTTCCCTTAGATTGTTATTGGATTATTATTTATACACCCTCTTTATCAAGAACTGTATATTTCTAGTTAAATTTCCTTGCTCTTCTGTTAATTGGAGGTCTGCTGCTAATTAGCAGTGTCCAAGGTTTGCTGCTAATTGTTCATATAATTTATTTCCTTTTCTTATCTGTTTGTCTCTCTGAAGCATTAAAGGAACTTATGTTGTTTCTTCTCCACCACCCCCGACTCCACTGTAGGGTGTTATGAAAACGAGTGCAAAACAGAAACAAAAGACTTTGATTTATTATTTATTTTTTTAAAATTTATCTAGAAAATTTAATTGTTCTTATTATTTTTGTGGCCTTTGTATCTCTTCAAAGACCCTATGAGTGAATTGTAGAGGTGAATCAGAAAGATGGATTGAAGATGATATTGGTATTTTATATATTTAGCCAAAACAATTTGTTCCACTATAATAATAAAAAAACTCAATGGAAGAGTTAAAAATTAAATTTAATCTTAACTCTTCATCCATTTGACACTTTGGTAGTATGATTGTATTTTTCAAATTTAGTTTAGGAAGGTAGTTAATGAGAAATGAATTACACAGATTTCAAATAATGAATTCATGTGTAGTTGTA